AGAAAAAAGGCGATTATTTTAATAGAGCTGGCGAAAATACATGAAAAGATAAAATCTTCGATAAAACGAAGAATTAAAATCCCACAGGTATTCGTGAGCCTGAATAAGCTCGATCAATCTCGATTCTGTAAAAGTATTAATCCTCTGACTATCCGCCATGATGATGAACTATTTTCAATGTTGTCACTGTATGACGTGGCATAAAGGTGTTTGTTGATTGGATGCGCGTTTGCAATCGTCGCGAGTAGAACAAACTTTTTGTTTCTAGTTGCGATTGCAGTAGCGCCTGTTTTTGAGGGGGGATTACTAGTTAACGGAAACAGCCGTCGCGGTTGCAGTCGCCTGCGTGGATGGAAATCGCATAGTGTGACCAGGGCTTTACACATGGGGTTGCAGGTAAAAGAAAAAGACAAGTGTTTGTAGGTCTTACACTACAATAAATAAAACTACAATTTCAGTGAGAAGGCTTTGCGTTTTTATTTTAAAGTACAATTGGTTTTTTGATCGATATTTAGGTCTCAACAGAAAGAAAATTAAATGTGTAGTTTTTAAAATCACTGATATAGTTTTAATATGGCCCTGGGGGTCGCCAGAATTTTTTTAACTTGTAAAGGGGTCGCGTATTCAAGAAGGTTGAAAAACACTGATCTATATAATAATTTCCCTAATTGTATTAATATTTTAAACCGTTTGATTTTTTGTATGTTTTTTAATTGGTTGATGATTGATTCTATCAAATAATTTGTTGATTGTTTGATTGTATTGACTTGATTCTTTAGCTGTAAACCAAAACAGTGCTTATTTCCAAATATTTTCACAAACGTTTTCAAACTTAGTTCTTCTTCAGGTGAATAAAACGGGTAGAATCGATGTTATTCGAAATCTGAATGCAATGTTCTAAGGAAACTCGTGCAATCATCGTATTAAACTTGCGCATGCTCTGTAGATAGAAGGATCGCTTTCGGCTTCTCAAGTGTCGTAAATAAGAGTTTGCCATGCTATTGATAATGATAGTTCATCCTTATTGTTTATACACTTGTCTTCTCTTGCTGTTTTATAGATATATATCGCTTCCATCCAGCGCAAATGGTGTATTAGCTGTGTGGTGTAAATTATTTTGCCTTGTCAAATACAGCTTGTATGTCAGGGTCCGTGGCATATTGTGCTAATGCTGTAGTATGTCTTTTATGTCGAATGTCAGCTTTGTGTTCTTTGATCCTCACCTCCAACGATCTTTTTGTGGATCCTACGTATACTAAGTCTTTAACACACCTATGATCTTTTACAGGGATCCTGTATACTGCTGCTAATTTGTTTTGGTGTGAAATGTCTTTTGCATTATTTAGCATTCTAAATATAGTGGGACATCTTCTAAATATTAAGGAGGCTTGTGTTCTTTTGGCGATCTCTTTGTAGATTTTCTCTTAGTACGGATTGCAAGTGATTAGGATTCTGTCTTTCTGAGTGTTACTTTGTTGCCCTTGTGGTTCTGTTAGATCTGTTCTTCGTGAATGCATCATTTTTTCGATCCTCAAGGCTATCCTACTATTATATCCATGTCTTTTGGCCATGATATTAATGGTGTTAATCTCTGTATCCAGATCGTTGGAGGTGAGGATCAACGAACACAAAGCAGACAATATTATTTCAGATATTACAAATGAATTATTCAAACTGAACCACAAGCTGAAGTTTCTGGTGACACAATTGTGTACTTTTGGTATAATAAGCTACAAAACTTATGCAGACTTAAGTCTTACTATGTGGTATCTGAATATTTCATTTTTGTAAGAAGTCCTGTCAAAAATAATCACATAGATTAATGTCTGAACTTGTTGGTGATCAGGTGTACCTAATGAATTTTTCTGGAAGGCATGAGAATTCATTCTCTGAGACCCCTGAAGATCGTGAAGTCCAACTTGAGCAACATCAAGTAAGAATGGCTTTGACAAGGCTATAGAGAAAACATCACACAGTCAAGCTTGACTCAATTTTTCAATCTCTACTTTCTCATAAAAAATATTTTGTCATGCTTGATGTGAGAGTTTCTAGTGTATTAAGAAAATGCAAAGCCTTGTTTGCTGTTTGTGTGGCCCCATATCATATGAACCATATTTCCTCCATGTTTGTTTTGCTTTTATATTCGTAGAATGATTTAAGAATATAGATATGTTGTTCATTATTAATTCTCATAAGCACCATGTTTTATAAGAATACAGATATCTTTCCTAGGCAAATGATGAAATCAAAATAAATGGCATTTAAGCTTTAAAAAGTGCAAAGATTTAAAATGACATGTTCAGGAGATATCAAGAATTAAAATCCTAACTTTTAGCTGGAACATCCTATATATAATTGACTGCCAAAAACAAAAGTTTATGCTTTATTTCTTTTTCTTATTGCTTATATACTGTAAGAAGTAAACAAAATTTTTCAAGTAAAATTTTGTTTACTTTGTTGTAGCAATTTTTATGACTTAAAATATCATAACAATTTTTAGTAAATTTGTTGAATGTATAAATATACAGGGTGAGTCAAAATTATGTGAACACTATTTGAGAGAAAGCATTTACTTAAAGTTTGTGTTATACAGTCTCTCAACATGAGCATTAGCATGATTAATGCACTCAAACCAACATTCAACAGTACAATTTAGTGCCAGAACACTGGAGATTGGGGAGGCCATAACAACAGTCCATCACGACCAATTGGAATAGAAAACTAAACAAAATTAATATGTTTCATTAATAATAGACTCACCCTGTAGATTTTAACTGTTTGCAGTTGCAATACATTTGTTGCTTACTTATTACAAGAATCCCTAATTTTTTGAATATTTTCATTTATGTTTGTAACAATAAAGATGCCAATCATGTAATTTTTGCATTGGTGGCAATTAAGACATCCGGGTTCTGTTGGTATAAACTATTTTCCCAACTTTGTAACTGTAGAGATCTGAAAGTATTTCCTCCGTCATTTTACTACATTAGACTACTTCCTGAGTGTCATATGTTGAACCATACTATAAGGAATATATGTCTGAAAAAAGCCATTAGATTGGCCAGAAGACAACGATATTCATTAATCAGGGAGATTATACATTGGGAAAATACTTTATTCAACAGAACCCGGATGTCTTAATTGCCACCAATGCAAAACAAAAGATGCCAAGATAAACTTCAAGTAAAGCAGATAAACTTTTGGCATGTAGTTATGCATAATGAGTAAAGTCCTCAAAGTTTGAATTAAAATCATGATAGCATAACTTGAGCTAATAAGATAACAATGCAATTAATCAGTTTGTTCAAAATAGTTGGCCAGACTTAATCATCATTCAAAAATACACTTTGAATACAAAATTTTATATGACAATATAAATATATTATTTAATAATTGTCAAATACTAGACATATTTTCTGAAACATTTTTTGAAAATAATAATTTATAATTTTATATAATTCTTTATGATATAATACTATATATATACAAGATACTGTACATAAATGATAACTACATGTACAGTAGATGATGATCTGATAGCTAAGCAGTCAGTTCTGTATAATTTGTATTGTAGTACAATAGAAAAGTAATGCAAAATAACAAAGCAAATATAGGCAAATACAGCTGAAAATATATGGGTATTTTTTTATTGTTTTAAAGTTTGCTAATGATTGCTTACAATCAAAGTTATTAAAATAGCATATAAGAATATTTGGTACATTCATAATTGATAAATGACAGTTACTTTTATAATTATGCATGAAAATTAGATAACTATTATTTCACATATGTTTTATATAATATAAAACATTATTTGCTGAACTATTAAATGGATTAAATTCAAATTTTTTCTTTGTATATTTTATTCATTTTATTTTTATTATTATTCTAATAATATGTTATTTTTATAACAGGGTCCTTATGGACAATATGGTCAATCTTATGGTGGTGGATATAACAATAGAAATAGAGGGTAAGATTTTATTTGAACATAATTTGAAAAATAGTTTATTAAGAGAATGAATGAGAGAGATTTTAAAATATGAATTCAATAAATCCAAATTTAAAAGAATAAAATGCAAAAAAAAAATTTTTTGTTTCTTGTTTCATTATACTCAATATCAGTGGTCGCCAATTGGTGGTCCATGGAGAAATTTGGACATTGATCAACTCAAGGTTACATGAAATATTACGAAAGAAATACAAAATGCTTGGTTGCTTTTTCTCATTCATTGGGGATTTTTTATTCAAATCTGAAACCAAAACCAAACACAAAATAATTGTTGTAAATAAATATATAATGTTAATAAATCATTAATGTTGTGAATGCGATTGTCATCTTTCATGGAAAAGAGCTAAGAATCTGTAAACTTATGTCAAACAAGCAGCAACAAACTTCACACTAATTTGTTATAATTAAACAAGTAAATTTCATATTAATAAAGTAAAACAAAGTAAAATGAGACTTTTATGATCATTATTTATAGATGTTTGTATTGTTTAAAAAAAATTTATGATATTGGTCCATGGATTTCAAAATTCTGAGTTTAGTAGTTCCTAAAGTCAGAGAGATTGGCGACCACTGCTCTATATACTATTTTTTAATAGTTTTTAATAAAAGTTTTTGATGAAATATTCAATTCAGTTTTGATTGCATGAGATATATTTCTTTTGAGCACCTAGTTTATCAAAAAGAGATTTAATGATTCATAAATTTGATGTGCTTTGACTAACAAATGAATTCATATTTAGAATTAGAATATAAATGAAAATTTTATTTTAACATTGGTTTTATGCAAGTCACTTTAAAAATATTTCAAAAATAGCTACATTTGAATGTTACAAGAGTTTGTTGATAAATGTCTCCATTTTTATAGAATTAGTTTGAAACAATAGATTAATTTGACCAGTTTTTAAAAAGTAGTAAAAATTATTTATTTTAAATATATATACATTTTTTTCAATATAATCAAAAATTCATTGTCAAAATATTTAAATTCAAGATGAAACTTGATTACAGTAGAGCGTCGATTATACGAAAGTCAATCATCCGAAACGTCAATTATCCGAAAGAATTCCAGTCGGCAAATTTAAATTTTCGCCAGTGCTGTGGCGCTGCAATCTTTGGCTATGTCTTAGGCTACTCAAATATTTTATGTTTTTGATGCTAAATTAACTTCTAAAATATAATTTTTTAATTGTTTTTATATTTTTCAATATATTTATTTTGTTTGTACAAAATAAAAAAATAATTTTTAACGATACAATAGTCTTCGTTAGGCTTAACATTGACTAAAATTCAACGCAAAGCGGCAACGGAGAAAAATTTCAACACGGGGTAGGTTAATGTATTTTTTCGTACATAATCGGTTATCCGAAAAATAAGTTATCCGAACAACCCCATTCCCCAATTGATTCGGATAAACGACGCTCTACTGTATTCTTCATTTTTACTAGATTTTTTGTCAAAATTTTTGTTTGTACCATAATTCTAAAACAGAATGAGCAATTATTTATTGTGACATCATCACAATGCTGGGCTGAAATTTTTAATCATATTTTTAATTAATTTAATTTAAAATATATTCTCTCCACTTCAAATTAGTAGTGTTTTGCCCCTGTAATCATACTTTTCCTGATAACAACAGAGATATACCAGTCATAACAACAGAGTCATATGAAACTCCATTTTGGGGAAATTTTTGAATTGAAATCATATGACTTCTGGTCTAGACCAGAAGTTTGAATATAGTTAATCAGGGTCTCCTGCCCTAAGCTTTCCATATCTAGTCTTGGACTTTCATCTAACATTCAAGAATAAGAAAAGATGGACAACAGTAGGAATTTATAGGTCTACAATTTTTTCAATAGTCCAATTAGAATCAAATTAATCTTTGTATTTATCAGTTTCCTGCTGATTTTGATGTCTTAACCAAAGAAAATCTGTTGTCACTTGATTACACTTTGTTTATATTGGATTGTTTCAACATGTGTTTTTATTTGTAATACTTTAGGTTTTAAAAGAATTTAAATTAATTTAGAAATGACCAGTTTTGAAATTAGTTGAACTCCACATAACTTTCCATAAAATTATGTTGACTTCAAGTATTTTAGTTCTGCTGAAATAAGTAATATTATGAATTGAAATTATTTTCTTAATTGTGTACTATTGCTATATAGATATTGGTAACACATTAAGTGACATCATGTTGTCATTATCAAATTCTTTCAATAGAAATGTCATGAAATGTCCTCAAACTGACATGAGGAGTTAAAATATTTTATAATTAAGAAAGGAAGGACTAGGAAGGGACACTGTTTAAGATAATCAAAACTTATTTAATTTCCAAGAAAAGTTTTTGGTTCTTGAGCCTTTTTCATTTCATGGCATATTTTTTTTGCTGTGTTTGATTTTGAAAGTACTGATGATCAAAAAGCTGTCCCAGAAAGCCTTTCTTGTATGAACTGATGAAGGCTTGAGAAGAGCCAAAAATGTGTTTTGAAAATTAAACAAGTTTTTGTTACCTTAAGAAGCAGATTGTTTCTCTTTCTTTTATAATGGTACCAAGTTTTATTAGTTTTAAAGAATAGAGAAAACATCATCAATTTGAAAATGTCAATCTCCCAGAATTTACTGACATCTGATTGAGGTTTTTAAACTGTTTAAACACTTACAGGGCCTATTTAACCTGTCTTTCATTGGCTTGACTGTACTCACAAAAGAGTGGGTGGACATGGGAGAGAAAATTTCTGAGGTTTCCAATCCACATCTTCCAGATGTGGCTTTTATTGTCTTGTCCATTTAGCTATCATTGTGCAAGGTATTACAGGAAATCCTCATTAATTGAAACTCAGTTAGTTTGAAATCCCATTATTTTGTAACTACTTTTTTTCTCATCAAAGGATATAGAGGTTCACACGTTAAGGAATTTGGTTGGTTTGAAATATTTGAAATTTACTTTGAAATTTGAAGTAAAGATTCTTTCCAAACTGCAATATGCATATGTTAACTTTTTCATTTGGATCAAAGTTCCTCCATACTATAAGAAAACAATAGACCAAGAACAACTCTAATCTGGTCAATATGACTGCTTTTACAGTAACATATTTTCAGGTGTCACCTTACCCATGGACTGTTTTTTTCTTTCACTTATAAAATATGGCTGGTTTTCGTGATTGCAAGATTGGGCTATGAGTAGTAGATTGAGATATTTGTAGGACTCTTAAGCTAGTACATTTGGTGACTTATTACTTTTGGGTCACTTTAAAAATAACAGACTACATTTTGATGAATTCTGCTTTACTTTTTACAAACCTATCTGGCAACCTGTGAGATTCTCACTGGACACATTCTGTTTACCTTCACATTTATATTATTGTTGTTAATTATTAATTAATTAATTAACAAAAATAACATTCTGTATATATAGTCGTATTACATTTGTTACATGGCATTTGTCATATTGTATAGATATATGTAAATCTATAACTCACTAACAACAACAACAACAACAACAACGTTGAGGCAATACAATGCCAGAGTGGAGTTCGAGAATAAACAATGACTCTATTTCTTCATTCCATGTTTTCTTCATTCTCTGCTGGTGGATGAAGAAAACATAGATCATTCATCATTACATAGAGATGTGTTGCTGAAGTTTTTAGAGTCTCAGAATTTGAAGAAAAAACAGTCAGTTTATTTTTAATCAAATGCAGAATCCACATGTTAAAGCTTATTTATTATTTTTAAATTTATATTATCTACATTCAATGAGTTTAATGCCTTCTTCCAATCTAAAAAGTCTTTAATAACTCATCTTTACATAGTAAGTGTTCTTTTTATTAAATTATTAGCCTCTAACTATATTGAAACAAAAGTATTATCGGCTTATGAAGATAATATTGAAACTTTTAATCTATATAATCCACATAATTTATTGTTATCGAAAAAATTAATGTTGGGGTATCCACAAGAGCACTGATTAATGATTTAAGTAATACTGACAATGAATTATTTATTTTGAAATGTCTAAAGTTTTACCAAAAAGCAATGAGTGAAGCGTTTAAAAGATTTCCAATTGCAAACCATTTTTTTATAAATAGATTTTTTGCAAAAAAGGCAATATTTTTAATGTCAATAAAAAACTGTATATGTATTATAATTACATTATTGTTCATGTTGTTAACAATTTAATTATTTATTGTTCATTGTTTTTAACACAACTATTCTGTGTACAACTTTTATCGTATTGTATTAATAAAGCCATTCTATGATTTGGAAATTTGTTGTTTTTTGAGTAGCGACAAAGTAGTGACTTTTCAAAATATCTGTGGCGAAATCTGCGACTTTTATTTTAAAATGTAGCAACATTCACTTACGAAAAGTTGGGACTGTATATACTGTATACAGCTTAGATTAAACTCTGTTCACACCAAGCAGTTCCTCTTTTTCTTTACTCTGTTACCACACCCTGCATTTATTATGAGAACTTTTTAAATTGTGAACATGACCAATTCAGACATTAACATGTCACTTAATTTAATATGTTACTAATATCTATAAAGTGATAGCATAATATTAGGTAAATAATTTTTATTACTAATAGAATCAATATGATCAGTTAGCATAATTTTATGGAAAAATTATTTGGAGTCCAACCAATTCAATACTGATCATTTTTTAAATTAATTAGGATATTTTTAAAAGTCTAAAGCAATACAAATGAAAACACACATGAACTGGTTGAGACAAAAAAAGTTCACAGAAAACTGACAAAATACTGGTCAATGTTACTTTCGTTCTAATTCCTAAATATTATGGTAATATAAAGATTTTGAGAAAAGAATTTAGTACAAGGAACAATCAATTTTGTCATTTTAAATTTCACTTATTGTGTGGAAGCCATCTCCTTAAATTAAATTTGAGTTTTCAGACACTGTTATGGTACAAATGAAAAATTTTATGAAACAATCCAATATAAACATATAACAATGAAATGACAAAATTTTTAAAACTGGTACAAAGCACAGCTTCACAGACAAAAATGAACAAATGAATTTTACATTTTTATTTTTACTGTTTATTGTACTTAGTTTTCTTGTTTTTGTTTATTACTTTAGAATTTTATTTAATAAATAATTTGATTTGCATTTAAATTGTATACACACTCCAATTATTTTAAGCAAAGCATTACTGAATATGAAAATATTATTTTGCATTTTTTTCAAATTATTGCTTGAATTGAAAATTGGTCAATAGATTTTTAGCTTCAGTTTTTATTATCAGGTGGAGTTTATCACATTTTTTTACTCTTATATGTTGAATTATTTTAAATTAAAGTTATAGTTTCATTATGTAGTAATATTTATTTTATGGAAGAATTTAATTCTGTAGAGTATATTTAAAAACTTTTTTTTTTTGTTTTGTTATAATAAGTAAATTCCAAATTTTTTACATTGGTGAAGAGAATAATAGTAAAATATCACTAATTAAATAAAATATAATCATTTTTTAAATAAAAATTTATTACATTTATTTCTTGATGTTTATCATTTTAGTAAAAGTAATGAATTTAATGTAAAATGTATTACTTTTAAAATTTTAAATTGTTCAATACAATATTATAAATATCTCATCAGAAGAAAATGTAAGAATCACCTGGATAATTGTGTGAAACGTTTAAAATAACTCAAAACTTTTGTATTAAAAAAATAAAACATTTTAAATTTTCTTATTTGATAAAAAATGAAGAAATATTCTATCTTACAATAATTTAAATATAGTAGCCTATATAGTATTATTAACATTAAAAATAATATTTGTAATAATTGCTTGTATCTCTTTATTTGTAAAATATTTGAGTGAAGAGGCAGTCCTGAAATACTGAATTCAGATAACACTGAAATACAATATCTTTTTATTTAAAATTTATATAATTCAAAAAATTTGTTTTTGGCTAAATATCTAGAGTTGCATTGAATTTAGAAATTGCATTGAAGTTAGAAGTCATTTATAAAAAATGTTGTTGAATTATAATTATTATTCAGTTTGTTAGAAAATTGTTAAGAGTTTTAGATGATAATCATCATTTTAGTTTAAAACAACAGCTTGAATGATTACCTTACAAAATTATAAAATCTGTTTTATTTTTAACTTATCAGTTTTATAATAATTTCTCTTCACAATTTACATAATTTATAAATTAGCATTTTTTTTTTTAAAACAGAGATAATTTAAAAAATCTTAAACAAAAATACATACTTAAAATTACAAATACAGTTTATCATCATTTTTTTTATTCTGGGTTTAGTATTTTCAACTGTACAACACTTCTGAACATTTTGTACAATTTTTAAGAATTTTTTCATATATTAAACTATAATAAGTATATGACCAATATATTTAGTGAGGAAAATATTTTATCTAAAATTTTTTTTAGCCCTGAAGAAGAGAAACTAAATCATATATTATTAATGACTATACAAAATCCAGCTTATCCTATTACAGTGGTAAGTAGTAGTATTCTGTTGATAGTATTATTAAAAATATAATTAATTTTACTTCAGTGTAATGAAAAAAATAAAAATTTCTTAGAATTACAATGATGCTTCACTCTTATTTATTTGCAGTTTAATTATGATAATTTAATATCTAAATGGACCTTAAATCAAAAAATGTTTTTTATATATTTTTATCATTTATTTTTTAGTTTGATTATTGTTAATGAAAGATTTTATTTGTATGAATCAAAATATATAAAAATTTATCTTTGCAAAAATTAATTACACAATTTTTCCCAAAACAATATAATTTTACAGTTTTTTCTTATTATATAAAAAATTTTTACATGTTAAAAAAATTTTGAAATTTTTAATCTTGTAATTTGATTTCTGCTATATGGAAAAAGTTTTATTTAGCTTAAACTATTTTTCTTAAATAATAAAACTAATAATTATAAATATGAAATAGGAACCATAATTAATATAAATTATAGTTAATATTTGTTCAAGTTCCAAAAAGTTTTCATTATATTATACAGAATTAAATATGACAATATATTAATTTTTTATGAATAAAATATGAGAAGATATTTTAGATATACAGTATAAACCTGTCTAAAATGGGTATGCTATGAAACAAACCTGCATAAGCAGAAAATTCTGTTCCATATCATTGCATTCATTTTAAACTGGTTTTACTGTATAAATAGAAATTATAATTTGTTTCTAGACTTATCCATTGTTGCTGAATTTAACATTTTGTCAAAATTAGTTACAATTGTGGTAAGATGTTACTCTGTAGAATGTCATTAGTATAAAAATAGTTACCATTGTATAAGTTATGCAGGAAAAGTAGTTACATAATTGAATATAAGATGCAAAATTTATAACATACTGTGTATCACAAATAAGATTATAGCTAGTATGAGATCAGAAAAAAATAAGTGTAGAGTTGAATTTTCAATACAAATTGTTTTAGATAATTGCCAAGACAACAAAACATTAATAATTTAGCAGCATGACATTGCATTATATACAGAAAAGCAGGATGTAGTCTGTACATTTTGGAGATTGTTGTATCTGTGACAGTTTTTTCTTCTGACACAGATTGTGTGTGTGAATAAATACTATATCTCTAGTATGCAAATGTGTTCTTAATATATTGTATTACATTATGTTAGTCAAATATATTTTAAATTTTTAAACTTTATAATCAATATACTAAGTTAACATGTTTCTATAATAAAAAGGAGTTAAATTTTATCTGCTTATTATTCAAATTGCAGAAATAATTTACTAGAAAACATGGAAAATTGCAAACATAAATAGAAGGGAGAATAGGAAGTAAAAATCTCTGACAAGTTAATGAATTTTCTCTATTTTTGAAATTCTCATTTCTTTGATCATACACAGTTCTGAATAAAAAAATATCTTAAAATTTTGTTACATTAATTTTGTATTAAATTATTAGATGACACAAAGTAAAACCATTTAAATACATATCTTCAATATTTTCATTATAATAAATATACTTGATGTACATCAGTTTGTAGTTGTTTCACTGCTTTACAGAGAAACACCAGAAAACTAATGTAGACTGAGTTTTTGTATTCAGTAATGCCATCTAGTATCATTTTTACTATTTTGTGGAAAATTTTACATTATCTCAACTTGTCCATAAACTAACCACATAACACTACTTAATACTTATTCAATAGCAGACCATTTAGTTTGCTTTGAAAAGTAACTCAGATAAATAAATATGATCATTTTGCTATTAGTTATCATTTGATTGTCTTGACAATGCTCACATTAATATATCAACATTTTTAATATAAATATTTTATTTGATAATGATTGACAAGATGCTTGAGAATGTAAGTAAAAGAGAATAACAACTGATTAAAACATTAATCTTCTTAGCATGTGAAATGACTTCTCAAGCAGATAATTAAGAATATGTTTGATAATATATTATTTATATAAGATATTTGTCATTTTTATCTGATTTTTTAATGAAACTACTACTGAATAACTGTAACTAAGAAGGAAGAAAAATAATTTTGCTAGACAAATTATTAACAATTTAACTGTTGTATCTAATCAGTATTTGTTGTCATATCTTAAATACAGTCGATCCCCCTATAACACGGTAGATATGTTCCACTTTATAAGAATTTCGTGTTGTAGGAATCCTTAAATACATGAGCCAATCACAGCCTGGCACGTGTGCAGTTTACAGACTACGGCTGTTTGAAAGGTTTTCTTCCATAAAATTAATCGATTCTAGACTAATTTGACTCAACATTTCCAAAAGATGTATAATTTTTGTGGAATAATCCGTATAAACTATGCTATAAACAAAAAATTGTAGGATTACTTACCAAGAGTGCACCATTTGATGACGCCATTGCTTAAGCTTGTTTTCGTCGCGGAGCAGAGCACTAAACGGCAGGTGCATTTTCTGACAAGTTATTTTTCTGCAAAAAATTCGTTGAACGTTGGATACATCGTTAATAGAAATAATTTTTATGGCCATTGAATAAGAAATGTTTTTTTCACAAGAAATGTATAAAATTACAGTAATGTATTAGACTTACAGTACCTAATTTATATACTGTACAGACGATAGTAAACTCAATGTACCCACCTAAACTCTCTGTAGTGTGTAAGTAGTTCAGCTGCTTGTCCACTATTGGTCCAGATTCAACCAATCCTGTAGCAACACGAGTCAGCGATGATGTTTTACCGCATTTTACGAGTCTCTGTTAGAGTCTTTATACGAATAAGGTCACAATTTTTTCGTCGCGATATACAAATCCGCATTATATGAGCCCGCGTTATAGTGGGGTCTACTGTATGTTATTTTAAATGTTAAGAAATTTAAAAATACAGTAAACTCGCTAATCCAGTCATTCCTTGTAAAGTGAGGAACCAGATTAGTAAGCATATAGGTTTAAAGACAATGAATGATGTAATCAGTTGTGCTTTGGTACTGATTCTTTCTGGATGCAGCCAGGTAAGTAATAAGGCATGATAAAATGCAATACTGTACATAGAAATGAAACCCAAATAAACATGAAAACAGGATGTGTCACATGACAAAATTTTCATGGAAATGGAAGTGCATAGGCTGGAGTATGCCACTGGAGAGTATGCCAGATAATTGAAGGTCGGATTAGCAAATCAACTGTAATAATAATAATAATAATTTAATTTTAGTTCTCTTCTTGCCAAAGTTTTATTTTGCATATTTGATATATACAATAATCTAGAAATGAGTTATTTAATTTTAGGATGTGATACACACAATTTGCAATCCAAGTGGAAAAGTTCATCGTATTGTCATCTTTAAAAAAAATGGAGTTCAAGCAATGGTTGAATATCCTTTATGAAAAATTTAATTGTTTTATATATTGTATTAAACTCAAAAATTAAATATAAAATTTATGGTATAAAATGTAATTTTAAAGAACACTCAATTATTTACTGATAGTAATTCTGTTTTTTTTCCAGTATATTAAGTAATTTTATTTAATCAAAATGTGAAAAATAATTTTCATATTTTAAATTTATGTTTCGAGATATTTGAAATATATTAGTAACTTTATGTGATATTTGAGAGCTATAAAAAAAATATATGGATTTGTAAATGTCTGTTTAATACGTACTACTAGTCATTTTATGTGGTAAATCTGACTCAAAAATTGCAATACACTGGTACCTTGACTTACAAGTGCCCCAATGTATGAGTTTTTTGAGATATGAGCCATCTCTTGGCTGCTTTTTCACTTTGAGTTGAGAGCTAAAATTTGGATTACAAGCCAGTTTCAGATACTCATCGCTAATTGACGCAGTGAATGCCACAGTGAACCATAGATTAAGAAAAAGATGATGGAAAACTGCAGCAATTTTGTCAGTTTTGTTACTCTTTCAATGTCTGACAAGCTAGCTTATAGAAAAACACATGATTGAGTGCCGTAGGCATTAGTTCACTTCCATGTTCCATGTACCACTGTCTCTCATTTCTCAAATTTTTCATCTTTTCTTTCTTTATCCATGCAGCTAACACCACATCATCACAAAACCAGTTTATTGCAGTACATTGTGTCTTTATACAATATTTGTTATTTATAAGTATGTTTTTTTTATTTAAAAACATGTAACAAAAAATTTAGTGTTTTGGGAGTCTGAAACAGATTAATGGCATTTCAATTCATTTCAGTGGGGAAAATTGATTTGAGTTAAGAGTTCTGTCATGAATAATCTCATCAATACACACTGTAAAATATACAACTTACTTCAGACTCGAAACCAAAACAGTGCTTATTTCAAAATACCTTCACTGATGTTTTCGAACTTAGTTCTTCTTCAGATGAATAAAAGAAAACTGGCAGAATTGCTGTTATTCGAACTTATCTGTTTCATACGAATTCTGAAACGCAGTGTTCTAAGGAAACCCATGCACTGATCATCTTAAACTTGTGCATGCTCTGTAGATAGAAGGATCGCTTTTGGCTTCTCATGTATCATAAATAAGAGTTTTCTTTATCTGTACTTAGAGAAACTATAAAGAAATCGCCAAGAGAAAACAAGCCTCCTTAATATTTAGATGTCCCACTCTATTCAGAATGCTAAATAATGCAAAGGATACTCCACATCATAACAAATTAGCAGGAGTATACAGGATCCCTATAAAAGATCATAGGTGGGATAAAGACTTAGCATATGTGGGATCTACGAAAAGATCATTGGAGGTGAGGATCAAAGAACATAAAGCAGACATCCTACATAAAAGACATACTACAGCAGGGATGGCCAACTTTTGTGTACATAAGATCTACTTTTTATCTTAAAAATGTGTCGCGATCAACTTGTTGTCGTAGGCATAATCTAAGTCAGCGATGGGCATTCCGCGGCCTGAATCGCATAGAATGTGTATAAATATATCAATTTCCTAGCTTAAAGTGGGCCCCTTTATCCGATTTTTTTAAACAAATGAATTACGTAGAATGTTTCTTTATTAATAAAAACAGACTCAAATATTTTATTTTTTGTTCGTAAAAATAACATTAACTTATAGTATGCAGCAAAAATTCAAACGTTATTTTCTACAACTTATGTGTGTGAATAGTTTTTCCTGCAATGAATTTAGTAAAAATTAAAATGAGAAACCGGCTAACAGACTCACCTCGAAACTAATTTAAAACTAGCAGTGACTAATATTTAATCAAATATTTTTGATACATTACGTTTACATCAGTTCTAGAAGCTACATTAAGTATACTTATTCTATTTTATAATTATATATGAACAAATAATTGTGATTTACCAGCATTTCCCCCCTCTTTTATCTTGTACGTGGCCGGCGTTAGTTCAAAAGTTTTGAAATGCATCCCTTACACAGTAAAAGGTTGCCCATCCCTGGTCTAAGTAACGAGGGGGGGGAGGTGTGAAATACATACTAAGTTTAGATAGAAAAGAAAAGCCACAATTTAATTTAAAACATGAAGAAAAGGTACTTACATTTTAAACAGAAGAAAAATTGAAACTCACTTTCGGGGACCACCACTTCACCCTTCTTCTCTCTGCCGTGTCCTGACCTACTCTCTCTCTCCCTTCTTTTTTTCAGTTTTACGACCCTTTGTCTACATTTCTTATTCCCCTTTTACAACTGTACGCAAATGGATTGCACATGGACTGACAAAACCGCATCTGAGGGAGAACGAGGAGGTCCGATAACACTACAGTTGCGTTTGTGCGTTACATTCACGCGTTGCATTCAGTTACAACTTACAAGTGTAACATATTAAGTCAAGACATCATAAGCGATCGACCAAAATTGGTTTTGCGATCGACTTTTTGGCCACCCCTGTACTACAGCATTAACACAATATGCCACGGACCCTGACATACAAGCATTATTTGAGGAGGTAAAGATAATTTACACCACACAGCAACCACACCATTTGCGCTGGATGGAAGCAATATATATCTATAAAACAGCAAGAGAAGCTAAGTGTATAAACAATAAGAATGAACTATCCTTATCAATAGCATGGCAAACTCTTATTTATGATACATGAGAAGCCAAAAGCAATCCTTTAGCTATAGAGCATGCGCAAGTTTAAGACGATCAGTGCACGGGTTTCCTTAGAACACTGCATTTCAGAATTCATATGAAACAGATACGTTTGAATAACAGCAATTCTGCCAGTTTTCTTTTATTCACCTGAAGAAGAACTAAGTTAAAAAATGTTAGTGAAGGTATTTTGAAATAAGCACTGTTTTGGTTTCGAGTCTGAAGTAAGTTCTATCATGGAATGAATTAATCTTGTAAGTCAAGGTATCACTGTATTTTTGTGTGTCATATTAAAATGTCATTGTTTGAAATAAAAACTTAGTTTTAGGATCACTGTTTTACTGCAATTGGTGTTTTGGAGAGTATATGAAAATTTCATTGTTACTTTTATAATTTCAACTACTAATGCTTTTAACAATTTGTAAAATGTTCTCTTTAACAGTCTAAAATCCTTAAGGTAAATTTTCTGTCTGAATTTATTTGCATGTTATTTAAAATTGATTATCACAAAAATTTACAAAATTTAAAATTTTGAATTTGTTATCTATCAGATTAACTTTGCATCTGAGAGAGAGACTTTTTTTGTAATTTGTTAGATTAAGTTGGATCTGATTCTATTAGTCAAGAAAATTGTTAGCAAGAAAGAGCTACAGAGACGACTTAGTAGGATCTTGCAAGCTACATGTGGCCATGGGCTGCTCATCACATTTCAAATCAAATTCTATTACAGTTTTTTTTCTGAAATAGTCAGTTGTCTATTTTCTTTGTGTTTGTAATGAACTCTTTGGATATATGTGTATGTGACAAAAATATTCTTTAGAAATAGTAGATTGTTGATTATCCATGTTTCAAAGTAATGAAAACAGAACATTTACCACAGCTTGAAGATTATGAGTATATTTCATAAAAAAATTAATAAAAAAAAACATTTGATGAAAGCAGAAAAAAACCAAAAATGACATTTTGCAATGGAATTCATAGTGAGTTCTCAGAGTAGACTCAAAAAAGAGTAAAGTAAAGATTATCAATAATATAGTTTGTGTAAAAATTATAAGATTAAAGGAAGTTTACTACATAGGGTAAGAAATTCAAAGAATTTCATAATTATTTTGTGTGTGTCAAAGAACGTAAAAAAACTACATATTGAATTTTTTCCAAAATGAACATTCTGATGGTTGGAAAAAAAGTTAAAAACATATACATAAAAAATATGTTTCACTTAAATTAAGTCTTAAGAGGAGTGTTTTATTCCTAATACTTACAAGGGAAACTTAGCAGTTTGTAATCACAAGTTCAATGAAATTTTGTGGATGTGTTATACTAAAACTCTACCAAAGCCACAGGACCCATTATTCTGTCAAAATTTTCTCAAGAATGCCTGAAGTTTTTCTACAACCATTAATACCAATACAGAAGACTGATTCACAAAGTTCTGATATAGTATGATTAGTTAATCTGTCAAACTTTTAGGTTCAATCTTCATATACAAGGTTTTTTTATTTTTACATTTATAATTCATTCTTATGATTTTAAAATTTGTTATATACAATTTTTATGCTGTTTTAATTATTGAAAGTAAAATTTATTACTCATTATAGTATATCAGGAAATTTAAAACAAATTTTTTACAATTTAAGGTTTTTGCCAAAAATATATATAGTCAAACTTTGTTAATTTGAATTCTCAGACATTCTACTCATCAGAAATAACTATATTGTTCCAGTCATTTCCCTAAGCCAGGGATTCTCTAAGTGAGTGCTGCAACATCCTGAGGTGTCGTAAAGAGTAAACGGGCTTCGAAGGCTAATGGAACTTTCTATCTAGACTAGATTGTTCCCATAGCTTGTAGAACTTCTAGATTTATATAGCATACTATCGGACATTGTTGAAGTTTTGTGAAATTGTAAGTAGGTGGCGCAGCTAGTATAAATGCAGCATCACTTCGGTGAACCAGTTCAGTTCCTAAATAACAATCGAAGAGTAAATATTTGAGAAGAAAAGTAAATGGTTTTAAGACACCTGTTACCAGAGGATGTCTGCTTTGTTTCAATGTGTACTTTGTATTTTTGTATAGTTGTAAGAAAATGGAAAGATTTTTATTAAATAAGCAAATTGACAGTTTAAGTGAGATGTGAGAATCATCAATCATCGACAAGTGGTGGGGTAGCAAAGAAACAGAAATATCATAAATATGACGATAACTATTTGAATTTTGACTTTACTTCAGTAGAAGTAAACAATGAAGAGAGGCAGCAGTGTGTGTTCTGTTTAAAGGTTCTAACACTCTGAGTGTATGCTCCCAAGTAAGCTAAAGCAACATCTCAAGACCAATCACTCTAACATGGTTGAAAAATCCCGCTAATTCTTTATTAGGAAGTTGCAAGATTTACAAAAGGAAAAAAGTATGTTTACTGAACATGCCACAGTACCAAGCAATGCACTGCTAACATCTTTTAAGGTCATATACAGAGTGGAAAAGTGCAAAAAATCTCTCACCATTGCATAAGAGCCTATTATACCGACTGCTCTTGACATATTATGCTGGGAGAATCAGTGGGAAAATTAATTTCAAAGATACCTTTGTCAAACTATTAGTCGAAGAATCCGTCATATAGCTTTGGATATCAATGACCAATTAATAGAGAAAATGAAAGGCAGGGAATTTGGTCTGCATCTTGATAAGGCTACTGACAGTAACAAAGATGCACACCTTACTTGTTATGTGCGTTTCCTGGATGATAATATTGGTGAAGACCTTCTGTTCTACAAAAGCATCATTGGAAGTGCAAAGGCTCAACACTTATTTGAGATGCTTGACAACTTTTATAATCTAAAATGATTTGGATTGAGAAAAGTGCATCAGTATAGGTACTGATGGAGCTCAATGAATGTCTGGTTGCTATGGAGGATTGCAGGTGCATGCGATGCTTATTCTCAGTAAAGCACTGCATGCTAGATGGACCCATTGCATCATACATAGGGAAGCACTTGCATCAAAGTTGAAGAGATCTCAATTGAATTTGGTATTAGAACGTGTCATAGATGTAAAATACATAAAAACTAGGCCACTGAAAAGTGGCCTAGTTTTTATGTATTTTTTCAAAAAGCTATGCATGGACAGATTTTTCAAAAAGCTATGCATGGACATGGCAGCTGAACAAATGTCACTGCTATACTACTGCAGTTCATGATGGCTTTCATGTGACGTCTTATCCCATGCATTCAAGCTATATCAAGAAATTCACACTTTTTTACAAGAGGAATGTCATGAAAGCTTCAGGTACTTTGCCAAACCCAACTTTTTGCTGAAACTAGCATATTTTTGTGATATATTTGACAAGCTGAATGCCTTTAGTCTATCTCTGCAAGGCAATAACATGTACATTTTGAAACTTTTGGAAAAGGTTGTGGCATTGAGGAAAAAGCTGCAGTTGTGAATAAGGAAAATCAGTGAGGATGGCGGTCAACATTATTTCCCTGAATTGCACAAATATGTGGCCTGTAATAAAGTCCTTGTTTCATAAGACTTGCTGTCCCTTCTCAAGGAATACCTCTAAAAGCTCAGTGACTGGTTTGTAAAATACTTTGAAGAAGACAATGTTGAGAAATTTGCATGGATCCAAGATCCTTTCCATGTTCAAGCTTTACCAGAATTCAGTTCGCGGGAAGAAGTGCGTCTAACTGAACTCTCTGGTGACAACAACCTGAAAACAAAATTTGCTTCTTCTGATTTAGTGGAGTTTTGGATATCAATCAAAAATGAATATTCAACTCTGAGTTCAAATGCTGTAAGGAACCTAATCACCTTTGTGACAATGTATTTATGTAAAGCCGGATTTTCAGCTCTAGCTATAATAAAAAGTAAATATCGTTCAAAAATCGATGTGGAGCAAGAAATGAGAATGGCAGTGTCAAATCTTATTCTGCATTTTGAAAAAATGTGTGGCAATCAGCAAACTCAACCATCACATTAACTTACTTGTTGTTGAAGGTTTTCACCATTTATTTCAAATTTTTGTATTTTCATATTTTAGTTTGATGGTTCTTGTGATTCAGTTTTAATAAATGCGAAGCTTCACATTGTGAGGTTTATCTTAAGAGTTGTTTTCATTTCTGTGCCTGATTTATCTCATTGTACACACACTTTGACAAGGGTGCCAGGACAAAATACTAAAACTGTAAGTGCTCCATGGATTGATAAAGTTTGGGAACCACTGCCCTAGGACATGTATTTTTTATCCAGTTTAATATGGCAGTTTTGTGTTTTTGTAGTAATTGTGGTTTTCTTCAGAGTTTTCATTAACATGTGAATGGATTTTTTAAATAGACAGTATTTTGGCAAATTGGCATTGATATCACAGACATGATCTCTCTTGATATATTTTTGTTTGAAATGTAGCAATTTATTTATTTTCTAAGAGAGATTTTTAAAGATTACTTGGATGTTTTGTTTAATGATATTGTTCATCAATTTTTAAAACATCAGTGACAATAGTTTTAGATCTTTCTATTCTCAACATGTAAATTTTATGAACTTCACCATCTGTAAGCTCCTTTCCATAAGGCGTTTTGTCTACTGCTATTTATCCAAGATTCTGTCAAGTTGTTTTTGTCTACTTACACTGGAAGCATATGTACTTCAATTTACAAGTGAAAATTTTCATACACATTGCTACGTTTTGTATTATGTTTTTGTAATTGTATAATTACTGCGCACACAAAACTACATTTTATTTTTGACCCTGTTAATGAACCATCCATAAAGTAGACCCAATATGAATAAATCTAATTTCTTTAAAATTAAAAAGAAAAATGTATAATTTTAAAATAAGCATTTAAAATTATTTATAAAGTAAATATGTTTAAAGGCTATGTACTTCCTATAAGCCATTTAATTAAGAATCAACGCATGGCGGTAATCAACTATCATCCCTCCGTAATTTTAATTTATGTTCTATTTCTTTAATGTTCTTTTTACTTTATCATTTAACTGATAAAGATCGTTAAAGATGATCGAAAACGTTTTTACGATATTAAATTATTTGCTGGAATATTTAAAAAGGTGATAATTTTGATTAATTCTTTCTAGTTCCAGTACAAGTTAATATAAATAACCACAACTCAAAGCCCGAATAGTATATATAATAAATTGCCAAACGATCGCCTAAATATTGGGCTATTATATGGCTAATTAAATGATTAGAATAAAGTAATTTGTCATTAGAGGTAGGTGTTAGGTGCCATCTCTTAAGTAAATTAATAATTAAAATTAAATAAATAAATTATTAAATTAATTTTAGAACCTTCTGGAATAAAAGAACTGGCCCAGGACGGGGCTTGAACCCACAACCTCCGCTTGCCAGTTACGCCACCTGGACCCCCAAGCGATTGGGGTCGTGGGTGATGAAGTGGTCCCCAGTCAGTGATGTATTTAACCAAGTAAGGTTATATCTAATCTAATATACTTCTGGAAGCGAAGACTCGCTCGGGGTCCGGGTGGCGTAACTGGCAAGCGCACTGCACGGCAAGCGGAGGTTGCGGGTTCAAGCCCCGTCCCGGGCCAGTTCTTTTATTCCAGAAGGTTCTAAAATTAATTTAATAATTTATTTATTTAATTTTAATTATTAATTTACTTAAGAGATGGTGCCTAACGCCTACCTCTAATGACAAATTACTTTATTCTAATCATTTAATTAGCCATATAATAGCCCAATATTTAGGCGATCGTTTGGCAATTTATTATAGTACAAGTTAATATTTTTATAAGCCATTTAGGTACATTGATAGTTATGCTTTTTTTTTTCTTTCAGCCATCTGCAAACATTTATGAATTTAGCCAAAAATTATCACATTATTAGATTTATTATGAGATTGCAATAGAAGATGGTACTAAACCTGCATTTTTTTTTTACATTTTAGTAATTCTTTCCTGAGGTATTAAATTTATCATACTTGTAGATTTTCACATACTGTGTTAGTTTAATTCAATGTTTTGTTTATCTTAAAAATGAATTAGATTTTATGAGAATAAAATTCTCTTCTCAATTGACTTGTTTTTAGTTTGAATTTCATCTGTTAAAATGCTGATAAAAATTAAGATTTCTTAACAATTTGAACATTTGATAGCATTGAATCAGCTAAGAGAGCAAAAGAATCCCTAAATGGTGCAGATATATATTCTGGATGTTGCACTTTGAAAATAGAATATGCTAAGGTAAGTTTTTTATTAATAATATTGATGCAATGATTATCAGTTTTTAACGATTATGATAATTTTCATAATATCTCTGAAATTTGAGGACACTTTAATGCAAAGGTGATCATCCTGCTGCCTCCATTAATATTTTTTGTGGCTCACATCACCCAAAATATTAAAAAATATATAAATTTTCCAACTTACAGAAGTATGCTGTAAAAATTCTGTTATTTTCTACAATTTAGCTGATTTTTTGCTTAACTTTTTACTAACAGACTAAAACTAATTTAAAACTAGCAGTGAATAATATTCAACCGAATATTTCAGATATATTACTTTCACATCAGTGACAGAAGTCAGATTAACTATACTTACACTAATTTATAATCATATATGAATAATTGTCGTTTGTCTGTCAATTGCAGACAAATGACAATTATTTGTCATTTGTCTGCATTTTATTTTTCTCTTGTTTGTGACCCATGTCAGTTTGAAAGTTTTAAATATGGCCCTTAGGCTGAGACTCCACTACCATAAAAACGGCGTAAAAACCCCTCTCTGTAAAAGCTTTTACCATCCACCAATCAGAAGTCAGTTAAATCTAGGTCATTGTGACGCGGTGTGAAAATGGCAAAAAATGAGCTTTTGTGTACGTTCCCTCATGGCTACTCTAGAATAGATCCGGAAAGATTTATTGAAAACATCCGAAAGTATTCATGTATCTACAACAAGAAGTATCCCGATTATAATAATGGATGCCTAAATCATGCGATACAGACGGCCAAAGGAAAATCCTTCAATTTAGAGGAGTATATAATGAAAAAAGCTAAGCTTAATAAGTGCTGTATATTATCTTAATTAATAATGCGATAATAAAAGTTAATATATGAAAGTAAAGATATTATTTTTACTACATTTGTAATTATAATACAGAAAAAACTTGTAGAATATAATCATTGTCTTTATAACTTCGATAGTACCGTTGCCATAAAGGTAATAGGTCCGGAGGTCCGGCTAGCGTAAAAACTTTGCTAGCCGGACCTCCACCACAATTCAGACGCAAACAGGTTACGTGATTAAAAGTTTTTACGCCTGTTTTTACACTAGTGGAGTCTTGGCCTTACATAAAAAAAGGTTGCCCATCCCTGCTTTAATGTAAAATTGTATTTGAATCAAATTTAGATTATATATTGGAGAATCTGCTAATTCTATGAAAGAAAAGATATAATTTATATAGAAGATTGTCTAAAAAATTATGCTTACAGACATGGTATTAGTAAAGTTAGCTAGTAGATAACAGAAGATTAAATTCAAGTTGACTTAAAGAAATTTTTAAAATGTTCAGATTGAATTTATATATTAATAAAGATTCATTAAACTTCTGTTCATTTATTTTATTTAACTTACTTTATATATGTGCAATATTATGAGTTGAAAAAAATGTTAATAATGGAATGGCTAAAAACTAAGTACATTTTTCATTTATATATTTTAACATTGTAATTGCAGCCAACCAGATTAAATGTTCATAAAAATGATAATGAAAGTTGGGACTACACAAATCCTTCACTTGGTAAGTAAAATGAAGCTTTTTGATGATTAGATATGAAACAAAAATTTTTTTTTATATTGACCTGAATGAATATATGACATATTATTCTATAATTAATGATAATGAAAGTTGGGACTACACAAATCCTTCACTTGGTAAGTAAAATGAAGCTTTTTGATGATTAGATATGAAACAAAAATTTTTTTTTATATTGACCTGAATGAATATATGACATATTATTCTATAATTAATTATTTCAAAAATTTTTTTGTATACATACATTCTGTATTATTTCAGAATATATATTGAATATAGGAATATATAGAATTTTATTCTAGATTATTAAATGTTGAAATTACTAATTTANATTTATTATTAAATAATTATTTTAATTACTGATTATTTAAAATTTTTTTACATAAAATTTTCAATTTAAATTAAAAAATAAAATACATAATAATCACAATATTTCATGCATTACATTACTAATAAGCATTTATTTATAAATTGTAAACCAAAACAATATTTCTAATTTTCCAAGTAAATTTAAAATTAAACATTATGATTATATGTTTATATACTTTCAATATATGTATATTAAAGAGAGACCACAATTCATTTTATCAAGTAGATATGATATACTATATAATTCACTTATTTCCAATTTCAGTAAATCTCATAGAAATTACCTAACATTTATTTTATATGACTACTTTATGAATTGCATGCCCTATTGATAATTATTTTAATTAAAAAAAATTGTTAAATATATATATGCTATATGTCCATGTGATATATATATTTTTAAATATATATATAAATATATACAGTACAATGCCTGATATAAATGCTTTCCATCATACAAAAATAAAATTAGATATCCAGTTGCTATTTTATAGGAAAATACATGCTTTTTCAACTTAATAACTTGAAACCAAATAAATGTATTTGGAGATTTGGTTAGCAAAAAATTGCATTTATTTTGATAAGAGAATCTGAAAGTTTAACTATAAAAGAGGCAACAAGAGCAAATTTTGTAGATAACATAAATGGAAAATGTAAATTGTTTTGATTTTAAACATCATTAATTAGTATATATGAAACACCCAAAATCAGTTTTAATATTGGAGAAGGAATTTAAATAAACTATAATTACAATAATTCAATGATATTTAGCTTACTTTTGCAAAATAGTCTCAAAATTTTAAAAAAAATTAATTTCATTTAATGTTACTGTATTTAAAATTTTTTATGATGACAGTTTATGAAATTAATGCAATTATTTTTTTTTATTTGAGATTACATTTATTTTTTTATCAAGTAGAAATTTAAATAAAATTGAATTAACCAAATAAAAATAGGAAATAAATATTTGAGAGAATATATTATTTTTTTTTCTAAGTAATTCAGCTGATGTATTAAATAAAATGCTGACAATATTATAATCAAACATTAAAATTTAGGAAGCTCAATTTATATATTTGCAAATTACAATATGCTCAAAAATATTGCTAAAATTGTTAAAAATGGAAACTGGTATAATGTTATATAAAATATTCTTTCTTATAACCCCAGGACTAGTGACTTTTTTATCATGTCTCATTTTCAATTATCTGTATTGAACAGAGATCCAAGAACTCTAATCAGCTTTCATTTAGCAATGTATTTTGGATTGAGATAACTTTTTTCAATTCCTCTTCAGGCTACAGATTTAAAAAAAAAATACATTAATATCTCCTAAAAATTAGAGGTCTTGGTTTCTGTTCAATACAGATAGTTGGAAAACAGTCATGATAAAGTCACTAGTTTCAGGATTATAAGAAGGAATATTTTATATAACAATATGCTCAGTTTTAGATAATGCAATAAATGAGTTTTAAGTTAATTATTTCATCAGTAGATACAAAATTATTCAATTTTTTTCATATATAAATTTAAGTGAACTTATTTTAAGTGTTTATAACAATTTTTGCATTTGAATTTTTTTATTAACATATAAATTTAAAAATCTTTAATGATTTAAATAGAGAAGAGTATGAATGTGTTCAAAAATTAATCATTGAGCACAGTTTATGTATATCCATTATAGAAAATTTTTTTGTTATTGTATTTAAATTATAAGAGAGGATTCTAAATTCAGTTAGAATTTCAGAGAGAAATTATGTAGAATTTATTAAATGCCTCAGTCTCCAAATATATCTTTGTAAATAGAAATATTTTTAGTTACAAGAATTTTGAATTGTTGAAATTTTTAAATATAAAAGAAAACAATTTAAACTGTTTATGCAGGCCAGTCCCACAGTTCTTGGCTGGACTATTTCATTACGAAAATTATTCACTTACATTAATAACAAAACAACACTAAAAATATAAACTAATGAATGAACCACATCCATCTCATCTGAATAGCAGTGATCCATAAGAAAGTATATTTGACTCATTTAGTTCATCATTTCCTTTTAAATGCATAAACTAGCCAAGAACGTTGGAATGGATTGTAGAAAATCATTTCATTTTAATGTACATTTTTCAACATTATAAACATCATTTGTATGTCTTTTTAAGGAAATATTTATGCAGAAAAATATATAAAATTTTGAAGAGCATTGAAAATGTTTTTCTTATCCTTCAAAACGGTCTTATCCTATATATAAAATAGAATTATTTGAATCATAAATCACTTTTATCATTATTTTGTTTATATAGATTAATAATAAAGTTTTGAAATATTATTATTTTGGAATATTAAATTACTTTTTTTGAAATACAATTTAAAATCACTAAAATAAAAAATGGAAGAATTATTCTTTTATCTTATAGATCTTAACTTAATTTTATTTTTCTGCTAAGCAGTTTCACTATTATTAAAAATTATGATTTGAAATTTGCACAATTTTCATATAGCAGTAAATATTGATTATTCTGGATAAATAATAAATATATGACATTTTCTGTGCTCTTCAATATATTTTGAAAGTATGCTAATTGCATCAAACTGATAATCACTTGCAATGTAAATATATAATTCAGATAATTTTAAAATACCATATTTACTTGAATAATGGCCACTTTCATTTCTTACATCAGAATGTGTATGTAGTTTTAAAAATTTTTGAATTAATTTTGAGAATAAAATCCTGAACTTTTTATTTGTTACTTTCAACTTAGTAAAGTATTTGTAAATAAATTGATTTCTTTTTGCATTGAATTTTTTCAGTATATCATTTTGTATCTTATGAATTTGGTATAAAAATTTAAATTAGTTGTATATTAGAAATTAGTTTTAATGTTTTATACATATGTTTAGTTACAAATGTTGTTATACAAATGTATAACAAATGCATGCAATATAGAAAACCAATATGAATTTTAGAAATGTTTAATTGATAATACATTTTTTTAATAAATTATTTTCATAGATTTGTACAGCAAGTGCTCACTTAACATTTTTGATAGGTTTTTGGAAACCGACATTAAACAAAATGACATGTAATACCAGTTTTACCACAGGCTAAATGATATAAACAAGAGTTAAGTTTCTACAACATATTTCTGGTCACAAAAATTCACCAAACTTTTAAAGACTGAGCTCTTCTAATACAAAAGATTGAAAAAAAAAAAAAAAATGTTAGCTATATGTATCTTATATATATATATATTTAAGAAAGAGGTAAGAAAGAACACATAACATAATTACAGTACACCATTGATTATCCGACCCTCACATTGGTTAACTGACCGTGTTCTAGTAGGCAAATTCAAATGTCTGCTAGTGATGTGGCGCAACAATATTTGGCTATGTCTTGGCTACTTTAATAATATTTTTACATGTTTTAGCTGGCAACAGTGGCTCAACCATGAAAGGGGGCCAGTATTTAAACGAGGTTTAATTTTCTAATTTTTAACGATACAATAGCGACGATTATTATTTTAAAAAATTTTTGTTAGGCTTAACATCGATGAAAATTCAACGCGAAGTAGGTTAATAGCGATATACTAATATACTAATTACATGGGATATAATAATATACTACACTAATAATGGATTTTTTCATACTTTTCGGTTATCCGACTTTTCAATTATCCG